GATGGATAGGACAGATCCTGTTGCATCTTTTTTGGGAGGGGAAATATGTGTATAGCACCAATAATATACATTATTAAAGAGCATGGAACAAAACTTTAATGTGGTTTCATATTAACTGATGTTTACTGATTTTAGAACAAAGAAAATCATGGCTTATTGGAGAGACTCACTAGCCTGGCTTCAACTCATGCGAATGACCTAGATACAATCCAGAAACTTGAAGTAGAGCTTGAAAAATTAGCGGCACAAAAGAGAACCTCTGAGGAAAAAGGGAAGAAATACAAAGAAGAGACTGAACAGGTTAATCTTCTTGTTCTCGGTGGTGTTGGCAATATAAGATAATTTATGAAATCTTTTTGTTGCTGTGGGAATGGGTTTATGTAACACCTGGTTCTGAGAGTTCCTAAGTATCCGCAACTTCTAACGTCTGCAGTTTCCTTTAGACTGTAAGACCTGGATTTTAATGGAAGACATTTTTTTTGTTCTCGCTAATTTGTGTATTTTATTCACCTCTTATATTTGAAGAAACTCTCAAAACTTGAAAAACTGAATACAGAATTGCAAGAACAGAAAACGTTCTTTGAGCAGAAGGTCCAAGAGAAAACTGAGGAAATGAAAGGTATGAGAAGAAAGCAAATGTAGGGCAGCTTTACCAAGTTGTAGTGGAAAAAATTGATAGAACCAAGTCCTCAGCAGGTGTAAATAGCCATAGCTCTGTTGAAGTCGTTAGAGTTGCATTTGTTTATTATAGCTGAATATCTCACCTTTATTTATTCATCTTTGAAATGCTTTATTTACAGTATGTTATGTCCAGGCTCTTAATTCTATAGTCATCTGTGCAGAAAACTTTCCTCTCTCCCTGGCTTCTAGTCTCTGAGCGAGCTCATAGCATTCCCTTTGAAACTCTTCTCTTTGCTCAATTCTTCTACTATATTGCTGTTAAAAAGCCACGCTTTCCTGAAAGGTCAGCCTGTGAAATCAAAATCTGTAATTATATTTTAGAACCCATAGCATGTGGATTTGTCAGAATTTGCTTATGCTGTGGTGCTTTTAGTTTAGAAAAGAGAAGACTGAGGGGGGGGGGACATGATAGCAGTTTTCAGTCATAAGGAGGAGGGAGAAAACTTGTTCATCTTGGCCTCTGAAGATAGAACAAGAAGCAATGGGCTTAAACTGCAGCAAGGGAGGTTTAGATTGGACGTTAGGAAAAAGTTCCTAACTGTCAGGGTAGTCAAACACTGGAATAAATTGCCCAGGGAGGTTATGGAATCTCCATCTCTGGAGATATTTAAGAGTAGGTTAGATAAATGTCTATCAGGGATGGTCTAGACAGTATTTGGTCCTGCCAGGAGGGCAGGGGACTGGACTCGATGACCTCTCGAGGTCCCTTCCAGTCCTAGTATTCTATGATTCTACAGCTCAGGATTAAGGTGGTATCTGTGATATGTTAATTCTAAACTAAAATATCCACAACTTTTCTTATTCAATAAAAACTCACATTCATTATCTTCATTTTTATTACTCTAAATGTTCACTGCTGCATGAAGAGCATTCAAATGTAATTTTTTTTTACAGATAAAATGGATGACCTCACAAAACAGCTGTTTACTGATGTACAGAAAGAAGAAAGACAAAGAATGTATGGAATCTAAGTTTAGCAGTTTAAAAAGTGCATTTTTTTTCTTACTCTCTCTGCCTTTTTTTCTCTTTCTGAAAATGTTTTATGCACACACAAAATCAGAAATCATTCCATTCTCCATGGCTACTGGAGTATATAATAGTTCTGATGGGAAACTAAAACATGTTAACAGAGGTGAGGGCAAAGACATCAGCCATGTGCCTGGGAAATTGCATGATATTTTTGAGACACAAGAAGAGATTCTGATCATAATAGTGCCTTTAGAAACACACTACAAACCAGTTCTGGGGAAAAGGCTGATAGTGAGGACTGTCAGATTTTCTATGACTTGGAGGGCTAAAGACAGAAAAGGGGGTTGACCTTAGAGAAATCTGGCAGTGTCATGCCTACAGCCAGCTCTTCCTGTTTCTCTCTCTCTCTCTGGGTATGTCTATGCTATGGGATAAGGTTGAATTAAGATACTCAACTTCAGCTACGTTAATTGACTAGCTGAAGTCAAAGTACCTTCACTCGAATTTTGGCTCTGTGCACGCTACAGGATGTCGAAGGGAACATGCTCTCCCTTTGACTTCCCTTACTTCCAATAGAAGCAGAACTACCAGCATTGACCAGAGTACCCACTAATTTGAACCCTGGAAAATTGACTGACAGAGCTTTGGTCTTCTCTGTACTGTAGACATACCCTCTGTGACCACCAACATTTCAAAGATATAAAAGGCATGTGCTTAAAAATACAGGACAAAGCTTAGTTTTAAGGCACAGGGCCTCACTGTGTTTTGCTTTGTGTCGCAAAACTACATAGTTCGTCCCCATGTTATGATGCTTTGTAGGATTGTTGCATGAAATCACCTATTATCCGACAAGATGCTTCACAGTCGCTCCTTAATAAATCTGATTTGTAGAAAATTAGGCACCAAATAAGAGACGTCTTTTAAAATACAAGGAAATGTGGTTACTCATCTCCCCAAAAGTTGGAAACCCCGTGTCCTCCATAGCAATATCTGATTTCTGCTACAAGTCAGCTAGGGGTCTTCCTTCTCCTCCTCCAGCCTTTCCTTTTCCCACAGTTCCCTTTCACTTGGCAAACCAATCTGAGTGAAGACTGTCTCTGCCAGCTGGGACTCCCAGGGAGCTAGCAGGAAATTGTGCTGTTTTACAGGCAGAACCTTTGAAAAACGGAGCTCTCTGATCCGGCAACGTCCATGGTCCAGCAGGACCATCAATGCTCCTGGACCAGAGAGCCTGGGAGCCTAATGGTAGGAGGCCAGCAGCCTGGCCTGGGACAGCAGGACCGGAGCCCCACAAAAGTGCTGGGGACAAGCCAGAGAACCCCAAAGCACACGGCTGCATGGGACAGGAGGAAGAAGAAGCTTGGCCTCCTGTGGCAGTGTGAGGACAGAGAACCCCGGCAGTCTGCAGCAGCATGGAGCTGGGGAGATCTGGCTTCCCTTGACACACCAGGGCCAGGGAAGGCAGAGCCAGGGGCTGGAGAATCCCAGCCACCCATGGCAGCCTGCGGCAGAGAGGAGCTGGGGAAACATGGTCGCCCACAGCAGTGCGGGGCCCAGGGGCTGGAGAACTCCGGACGCCCATGACAGCCCAGGGCCATAGGGCTGGTGGCAGCAGGGTGGACAGCCTGCCTGGGGGGGTGAAGGGAAAGGGGGCAGAGGCAGGCTGTCCACCCTGCTGCCACCAGCCCTCTGGCCCTGGGGTGTCACTGGATGGCTGGCTCAGGGCTGATGGCAGGGAACACTTCCCCTGGTTCGGAAAATTCTCTCGTTCGGGTCCGGTCAGGTCCTGAGGTTATCATTCCAGGGCGGTCCAACCTGTACCATCTGGGGACACATCTACACATTAAAAAACCAACTCTGCAGCAGTGAGACCCTCCTCTCCCACAGGGTTGCAGAGCTGAGGGGCCAGCCCAAGTGGGACTGTGCACTGCTATATTTAGTCCCATAATACAAGCCTGAGGCAGTTGATCTGGGGTTTGAGACTCATGCCCCCCCCATTTCAGCATAGACTTTTCTTTAGACACAGGGATTGTTCTGCCTCTGAGCTCCCTACCTCAGTCCCCATAGCCAGGTGGATGTGGGAGACCCAGCCATGTTCCTGTTCCCCTCTCATCAATTTTGCAGATGAGAAGTGCTCAGCATTGGCCTATCTCTACTCCCACTGAAGTCGTTGACAGCAAAGTTAGGATGACACTGAACACTTCTGGAAATCCCACCTGGCCCCTTTATCTGCCCAGCATACAGATGTATTCTCTCTCATGTCCAGGTTGTGGTGGAAGATTCTACAAAGTGTCTTCTGTGACACACACAATGGAGAATCTGTCCTATTATTCTCAGATACCTTCAGTAGCTCTCTTTAAACTAAAAATGGGGGGGGCGGTAATCAGTTAGGTTTTTCCCATTTCTGGTTATTAGGTCAGTAAGTGATGTTAATAGTTTAGCCATTTATTATTTTCCCCTATTTTCAGGTAAGCCTCTATTTTTAATCCCACCTAATAATTTTTACTCCTTGTATGTCTTATGCTGTTTTTTTAGTTGAAGGATGCACCTTGTCCATCATTCCAGCTGGTCCTGTTTCAATGGATATATCTCTATCTGAGCTGGAGGTTTAATTTTTGACTGGCATGAACATATGAATGCTAGCTTTGATTGAGCGAGCATTCTAAAATAGAATTGAGGCTTCAGTGATATAGGTGGCAAAACATTACAGTAATTTCAAATGTAGGCATATCTATAACACTGGGTCTCCCAAACTGCAAATCAAATGAAAAACCAGAACAAAACCCTTTTTTGCCTGGAGATGGGTTTGTAAAATATGCTTTATTTTGATTCCATGCAGAATGCTTGAGAAAAAATTCCAAAATGAGAAACAAGACTATGAAAAAGAGATCAAGTCATTAAAGGAAGAAATTAAGATGCTCAAAGAAGAAAAAAGTAACCTGCAACATAAAATTCAGGAAGAACATCATAGTCAGGATGGCTTAAAACTGGAAGTAGGAGAACTTAAAAAACAGGCAACGGTAGGAGGAATAAGTAAATTCATTTGGTAAACAAAACCAGGGATGGTCCATTTCATTTCAGTTTCTTCTCTACGTTTTGCAAATAGAGAACTTCAGCGCTTTATTGATGGACTGTCTTTCCTGTGTTGTTGTTTATGTACTGTACCTTTTAAAGCCATTTGTGGTTGGTAAAATGTGATTGATTGTTTGAGGTAATAGCTATATTTACTGTTGGCTTCCAAACACATGGAAATACAACACACACAAAAATATTCTCATTTTCACAAATGGCTGCTGGTTAGTACATTTATTTGAGTGTAAAATCTGAAATTTTCACTTCTCACAAATCAACTGCCAACTAAAAACAAAACAGCAAAAACAAACCAACCAACCTATCTCTGTTTTCCTGATGAAAGGAATATTAGCAACTTCATTCTGCCCTCAAAATAAGCACAATTTCAAATGTAGTCAACAAGAACTATGTGAAATTGGGCCTTAAACATTTGTCCATTTAAAATATGTGAATCAGCTTTTGGAAGAAGGTATTCATTCATTACAAGGACATTCTCTCTCTCTTTCTCTCCCTCTCTCCCTCTCTGCCAGAAACTTACTATTAGGTTCTCTCATAAAGGTGAATATTTGAGACAGCTGGCTAGACTGATTTAAACAGAACACATTTTAAATCTTGTGGCATGTTAATCAAACCATTGTTAATCATAATGCTGTTTATCACTAAGTTGATATTTAGCCCACCTCAGTCACTCATTTTTAGCCCATTGGACTCTGTCTCATTGTGAAAAATGTGTCCAATTCAGATGATACCTGAATTGCAAAAGGAAATTGAACTGCTTCAGACTCAGAAAATGGATGTGGAAAAGCAGGTCCAATCCCAGAAGCGAGAAATGAGAGGTATTGACAACTCTGTAATTCAGGGCATTTATACGGAGAACTTTACCATTGATTACATTTATGCATGTTTAGTTGTGTCCATTTTTCTTGGTACATTACAAAAGGAAAAAAAGTAATTAGATGTCAAAACAGACACTAAAAACAAAAGACAATTAACCCCCATACCCAAACCCAGAATGAACTCCATCCCATCAGCTACACCTCCTTCCACCAGAAAAAGCCTGAGGGGAACAGTTGAGTATTGCTGTGTACAGAATCAATACTGACAGCAGGGACTTGTGGCCAATAACACTCTGCTCTCAACCCTGTCCCTTTTAAACAACTCTGATGTCTGAGATGATTGCCCTTGCTTAGAGATCACATGACAGAAGAGTTGATTTCTCGGGCAGTCAGCACTCAGACCAAAACCAACACCTTAAACTGAACTCAGAAATGAATAAGCAGCTAGTACAAAAGGCACTTAAGCACAGGAATAATCCCATTGAAGTCAAAGGGATTACTTGTATGCTTAAAGTTAGGTGTATGCTTTAGTACTTTGCTGAACTGGATACAGAAAAATGCTGCTTAACAAAAGTGTTGACACTTTCTGCACTTGCTGCAGTACCTAATATCTTGAAGATGCAGCCCCCTGCTCTCCCCACCCTGTAAATCATCTTGCAGTAATCAAAGAACAACTAGCACAGGTGTGGAGAACTCTAGCAAGGTCCAAATTCAGAAAGAAAGGACATAACTTTCATACCAGTGCAAATGATAGAGAGCACCTGAACCTGCCTAGACATGCATAAAGAGATGGGGACAGAATCAAGTCCCTGGGTTGCACTCCCTAGTTAACTGTTTGTATTATCCACTGGCAAAGAACTTGGCTGCTTTAGAAAGAGTCTGATGTGATTGTTTAAATGACATGTATAATCTGAAACTGTAAGGAGAAAATTCATTGTTTACATGAAGATATTTATTTTCAGAAAAAGTGTCAGAAGTTGCAAAACAATTTATTGAGAGCTATGATGTGGAGGAGGTAAGAAGCAGGTAAAATATTTGTTTTTGTTTTAGGCTTTTTAAAAATTTCAGACAAACTTCATACTTTTAAGAGTTTTCATTTCTTCATCCATACCGTTTATATTGTCTTGCCTTGTGTTTAGGCTGACCCCAGAAGACTTGGAACATTTAAACGAAGATGGAGAACTTTGGTTTGCTTATGAGGGTCTGAAAAAAGCCACAAGGTTAGTTTAATTATGTGGTGTTTGTTCATAATTCTGGTTTGAGACTCATAGGATAAACAGTAAGACAACAATAAGGAAACATCTTGCAGTATCATACTGAAAGCATCAAATAACAAATGAACTAACATTGCCTAATTGGGGGGGGGGGGGGGGGGGGGCAGCAGGTGTTCCCTGGAACCTAGCATTTAAGTCAGCTTCCTGCACGTATCGGGAGTCTGCATGTAACTATGAAGGTTAACTGATGAGCCGAGGCTTATCACCCCTATGAGAGATCCAATCTTTAAGCCATGGTCTGAGAGGAATAAAGAAGCTCACACTGTCTTGGTTGATATATTGTGTACAAAAAACTGTTTCTGAGCATTGTTTTAAACCAATCATAGAGTTTTATTTAGTAGTATACAGCTAGAAAAAGGAAAGAGTTTTGACTTAGAAGTTTTAAAGAACCTGTTACTAGTGAGATCCATTTATTTTGGGTTAAAACTACACTGCACATATTTGGTGTATTGTATTTTACCATTAAGGTCTTTAATCCACCTAAAATGGCTACTCTGATTTATCTGCATGTGGTAGTGTTTCTTTAAAGATTCTGAACTTGTTATATGAAATTTCTGTATACAAACATCAACAGCATGTTTAATGCATATCAGGAAAGATGAGATAACTGATAACTTTGAACTGTGTCATAAACTATAATGTAAAAATGTAATGAAAACCATTTAGATTGAACTCTTGTAATGAGAAAAAATTTGCATGTTCTCGGATATTACTATTGATCTGAATTGCCAGGGTGTTGACGTTCTAGAGTTACTACAGCTGTGTTATCCCAGTGCCTTGTTTTCACATTGATTTTGACACATATTGCTGCCATAGTTTCCAATTTTTGTTTTTTAACAGAGTGTTAGAAAGCCAGTTCCAGTCTCAGAAAGAGAACTATGAAAAGGAGATTGAAGCTTTGAACTTTAAAGTTGAACATCTTAGTCAAGAAATTATCCATTTACAAAAGTTGTTCAGGGAAGAAAATGACATAAATGACAGTATCCGACTTGAAGTTAGCAGACTAACATCAGAAAATATGGTAAGGTTTAAGCACTATGGAGCTTAAATTATCTTGTAGGACTTAACCTTTTTTTTTTATTACCTTGCAACAGAATTCTGCCCCCAAGTGTATTTGTGGCATGAAACCTCAGTATTTCTCCCAGTACTTCCATGAATGCCAAAGGACCTCCAGGGATGTAGCCATGGCACAATAACCAGCCTCCATGTCCACACTGGAGTGATGGTTGAAATGATGCCCAACAAACTGCCATGCATGAGGAGATCATTGGGAGAAAATGACAGACTTGGTTGGCCTGATCTATAGAAAGTTTGATCAGCATTGTGGAGCTACTATATCTTAGCCATAGTTTCCTCTCAAGTGTGCACCTGTGCAAACATACACCAAGAATTTGCCTTCTGCTCACCTCCTCAGCAGAGCCATGCAGTGTCTGCTCAGCTGCTCTGGGGTGGGGCCACGTGGTAGGTGGCTGCTCCACCCCAGGAGCAGTTGGGCAGCCACCTGCGACCCTGGCCCCTGCTTTAGCCAGGGCTCCATGTGGTGCTGCTGCTTTTAAATACCTCCCTCTTCTCCCTCACCCCCTTGCTGCCTCTGTTTGACTAGTCCACTATCCTGTTGACTGTCTGATAAGCATTTGCTTATCGGATAGTCGACTAATCCTTTACAGCCCTAGTTAGGATTGGTCCTGCTTTGGGCTGGGGGCTGGATTCAATGACCTCCTGAGGTCTCTTCCAGTCCTAGGATTCTATGATTCTATACTGTGCATAGTTCCCTCTAAGGTGCACGAATGCACACCAAGAATTTGCTTCCCGCCTACCTCCTCAGCAGAGGCGTGCAGTGGCTGATCAGCTGCACTAAGGCCCTGCTTTCCACCCCCAAGAGCACCTGGGCAGCCACCATGCATCTCTGGCCCTAGCTTCAGCTCTTCCCCAGGGCTGGAGCTGGAGCTAGGGCGGCCACCTCACAGCTGCTGAAGCTGGAGCCTGGGCTGCAGTACTAAAAAAGGCATTGCAGCCCTGGCTCCAGTCTTGACACATGGGGCAGCTGCCTGCTTCGTGGCCACTCCCCATAATTTTTAGTACCGTGATCCTGGCCCCAGCCACTATGTGGCCCCAGCTGCTCCTGGGGCAGGGGTGTGTGGTGAGTAGCTTCCCCATGTGCCAGGCCATGATGCAGCTTCTCCTGGGCTGGGGTCAGAGTACTAAAAATAGCGCCCTGGCTCCAGCCCCAGTGCACAGGGCAGCCACCCATCATGCTGCCCTGCCTTGGCACTAGGGGCTAGAGGGGGGTTATGGGAGGGAGGGTGAGGGAAAGGGGGGGGGGGGAATGGGGGGGGGGGGAGAAAGGAAGGGGCTTGTGCTGAGGGAAGAGGAGGGGGCCAGGGCAGGAGAAGAAAGGGGAAGGCACCAAGGAGCCGGGTGGAGGAGAGACAAATGCCAGGAGGAGACAATGAGGGGAAAGGGCAGGAGGAGGGGGGAAGAGGATGAGAAGGCATCAGTGGAGGTGGGAGAAGAGAGGATAGGGTGATGCTGGGAGAAAAGGGAAGAGGCAATGGGGGCAAGAGGAAGAGGAGAGGGGAGGGGTGGGTGCTGGGAGAAGAGGAGTTGAAAGGAGTGTAGGGCTTTTGGAGTTTAAACTCAGCCAGCTACCAGGGAGACCGTTTCAATGTGTCAGGGCAGTGAAACCTCCTCTCTGGGAGCCAGGTGGGCAAGTGAAACCTTTTCCCCAGGAACTGGGCCAGCAGAGACTGGTGGCCCTGCTCCCAAGGAGGGTTCACTGCCAGCTCTGCAGTATAAAGTTAAGCTTTGTACTGCAGAGCCCTCAGCGTGTGCAATCGCTAAGATTTGTAGCAGTTACACATTTACCGTAATAAATTATTTTTAACATCCCTAGAGGAGTGGGCATGAGGAGGGCAGGGGATGGAGCAAGTCGTGTGCAGGCACAGACGGGCATGAGAGAAACTTGGGCAGAGGGTGGTGAGTGGATGGGCACCAGAGAGGAAGAGGGCAGGTGTTGGGAGGGCAGGGGCAATGAGAGAAGGGGGAGGCACCAGGAGAGTCCAGGGGGTAAGGGAAAATGCAGGTGCCAGGAGGATTGGGGAGGAGGGGAAACAGAGGGACAGAGACGGGGAGGGTATTGTCAGCCTGATGGGTTCCTGCTTTGTTAATGATCAGGGCTCGACAAATAATGCAATCTACTCGCCCATGGCGAGTAGATTGCAACCTCGAAGAGCCGGGTTCGGGCAGTCTGCACATGCGCAGAACCATCTGCGCATGCGCAGATCACCAGACAGTGTGGCTGGGGGGGAGGGGGCCGCTCCTCGCCACGATTCGGTGAGCTCTGTTAATGATGATAACCAGAAAGCAGCTTAGAGTAGCAATAGAGATGTAGCTGTGTTAGTCTGGTCTAGCTGAAACAAAAAATAGGACTATGCAGCACTCTAAAGACTAACAAGATGGTTTATTATGTGATGAGCTTTCGTGGGCCAGACCCACTTTCTCAGATCAAACTGTGGAAGAAAATTGGCATGACCATATATACCAAAGGGATACAATCAAAAGAAGTGAACACATATAAAAAGGACAAATCAAATTTCAGAACAGAGGGGAGGTTAATGTCTGTGAGCTAATGATATTAGAGGTGATATTTGGGGAAGCTATCTTTGTAATGGGTAAGATAATTAGTGTCTTTGTTAAGGCCCAGTCGTAAAGTGCCAAATTTAAGCATGAATGACAGTTCAGAGGTTTCTCTTTCAAGTCTGGTGTTAAAATGTCTTTGAAGCAGTATGCAGGTAATCAAGTCGTTGAGACAATGCCCTTTCTGGTTGAAATGGCAAGAAACTGTTTTTTCTTTGTGAAACTGTCTGATATCTGTTTTGTGTGCACTGATTCTTTGGCGAAGTGTCTGAGACGTTTGTCCAATGTACATAGCAGACGGACACTGTCGGCACATGATAGCATAAATTATATTTCTGGATGAGCAGGAATTTGTGTTCTTGATCTTATAACTGAATTGATTAGGTCCAATGATGCTGTCAGCAGAGTAAATATGTGGACAAAGCTGGCAACAGGGTTTGTTGCAAGGGAAAGTTCCAGGGTTGGTATTAGTGTGGTATGTCCTGTGGTTGTTGGTAAGAATCATCCTGAGGTTAGGTGGTTGTCTATAGGAGACTATGGGTCTGTCTCCCAGAGCCTCTCTGAGTGTAGTATCCTGTTCCAGTATAGGTTGTAGTTTATTGATAATGTGTTGGATGGGTTTAAGTTGGGGGCTATAGGCGATGACAAGTGGTATTCTATTGTTGGTTTTCTTGGGTTTGTCTTGAACTAGATGGTTTCTGGGTAATAATAAGATGCTAATTATCTTACCCATTACAAAGATAGCTTCCCCAATTATCACCTCTAATATCATTAGCTCACAGACATTAACTTCCGCCCCTCATCCCCCCTCTGTTCTGAAATTTGATTTGTCCTTTTTATATGTGTTCACTTTTTTTGATTGTATCCCTTTGGTATATATGGTCATGCCAATTTTCTTCCACAATTTGATCTGAGGAAGTGGGTCAGACCCACGAAAGCTTATCGCGTAATAAACCATCTTGTTAAGTGCTGCATAGTTCTGTCTTTTGTTTCAGAAGGCAGCTTGTGTGTGCGCTCAATGATGTATGCCATGTTGATTTACGCACTTAGTCACCACAGAAGACCCCAAGAGAGCCCCCAAAGACTTCCTACCCCATGTAACCCAAACCTTCTGCACCCCTGGAGCAGGGCAGGAAGGTAGAGGGAAGTGTTAGGAGAGGAGATGGGGAGAGGGGCTAGAAGATGGATGGGCACAGGGGGGAAGGAAAGGGTAGATGCAGGGGTCAGAGAGGCTAGGGAGGGGGACAGGTCCCAGGAGGGCTGAGGGGGAGTGAGAAAGACATAAGCCAGGACAGCAGAGGATGATGGGGGAGGTGGGGGGCAGCAGCAGGCACCAGGGGAGCAGATGGGTTAAGGGGAGGGTGGGAGACATGGCAGCAGAGGATAAAAGGGAGAGGTTTATAAGATATTTGTTAATAACTTGGGTGTCATGGTGGCACACATCCGAACAAGCACAGGTGATCTCAATATTGGTGCCCAAGACAAAATTCACTCTGCTCATGGATGGAAAATCTTAGAAGGAACACTCATCTTAGCCCCTGGCTGCTGTGTAAACCTGGACTGATGCCCTCAATGTGCATTTTCATCATAACCATAAAATGTTAATACCCATTTTGCAAACTCTTGTTATGCTTTAAAGAAGCACATGGGATCTTTTTCAGGGGCATAAGGCAACATGCTGCATTTATTGATAATATAACAAGGTAGAATATGCATTCTCTCTCTCACACTCACTCTCACTCTCACTCTCACTCTCACTCTCACTCTCACTCTCACTCTCACTCTCACTCTCACTCTCACTCTCACTCTCACTCTCACTCTCACTCTCACTCTCACTCTCACTCTCACTCTCACTCTCACTCTCACTCTCACTCTCACTCTCACTCTGGTGATGGATTAGGTACTAGTCTGTTGCTTGGCCCAACCTATTGGCCAGATAGGTCGGGTATGAGGAAGGAGCCGGGTTCTTGTCAGTCCGGACTGATGCTCCTCTTGGCAGGACAGGAACCCGAAGAACCATACAAGACACCCTATCCTTTGTGGGATTTTTCTTCCATGCAAGTCTATGCATTTTGCCTTGTCAGGCCTTAATAAGTCATTCAGCATCACAATCAGTTTTTCTGCGATATGTGTTTATCTGGAGGTTGTTCTCACAGTCATCTGATACCAGTATGCTGACGACCCCTCAGGGACGTTGTCTTCTGGCAAAACTTGTTATTGGTTCCCTATCAAGGGATGCTTGCCACTAACGTCAGGGTTCATCAGTCTGCCCTGGTAGTCTGTGTCTTCAGTGTACTTTTACTTTAGTTGATAATTATTTGGTGCTTCTGAGTCTCTGGCCCCTCCTCTGACCATTTGAGCATGCAGTGCTCTTCACACTTATCTTTCCGAAAACATTCTCTCTCTCATTCACACAAACAATACATTTACACAATTGCAACGTGGGACAAAAGCGTACTTCTAGTCACTTTAACAAAGTTACAAAGTCTTTCAACATTAAACTTTTTTCTATCTGTTACAAGACCTTGCCTACTATTAACATCACTATGCATTATGATATTCCATTCCTTCACTTTAACATCAGAACATGCTAACATCAAACAAGGCTGGAGGTAAGTTAACAAATCTGTCTGGCCTGTCTGAGGCCTACATCTTGTGTTTAAGTTTAATCCAAACCTTTTGCTATAACATACTTTCATTATAATTAACTAACTTATTAGTTACAAAATTCCAGGGCTGCATTCTGACATTGTGGGAGGTGCATGTTCCTGCACCTGAAAGCAGAATTTGGCTGTTTGTTGATACTTTCCTAAGGAAACAGACTAATCACACTGCAAGACTTGATTGCATTTTTAACCCTGTCTTTGTATGCCCATGTGACTAAGACTTATGATTTTGTAAAGGATTTTGTTCTAATCAATATATTGTCACAATGGACGTGGATAGGTTCATGCAAATATTATGGTGGACATACTGTATGCTCTTTCTTGCCATGCTTATGGGATTTTTTGATTGAAATTACAGAAATGTGCACAAATAGGCAGTTTTACATGGGATAGCTATTCAGGAATGCAAACATTTATTGCTAAACTTTTAGACCATTTGATTAGGGGAGTCAGCTAGAAAAATAATATCAGCACTTCGGCATTGATCAGGAAGCTTTCATATTTAGCCATTTCAGTACATCCATAATTTAAACAACTAATCTGAAAATCAAATAAGCCATTTATTGTTTGACTGATAGTTTGTATTTATCTTTCCCATTGGTATACGTCATAGCTTAATTAAGAGAGTTCCTTCATAAAAAGTAACCCTTTCCAGAGCAACACAAACGAGATTCAGAATTATATGGGTATGTTGCATGCTGAAAGTACTGTATTTCAAACTGATAGTTAGGAGTCAGACACTCATGCTACAGTGACTCGGTAGATAAATAGACACCATACATCAATAGCTGAGACAAACATTCATTAGTAGAACACGAGGGTTTTTTTAAATTCGTACATGGAAAGATGGCAAAACATTGGAGTTTATACCTCTACAAGCAGTCCCCGGGTTATGTACAAGATAGGGACTGTAGGTTTGTTCTTAAGTTGAATCTGTATGTAAGTCGGAACTGGCGTTCAGATTCAGCCGCTACTGAAACTGACCGCCAGTTCTGACTTACATACAGAATCAACTTAAGAACCCCAAGCGTCCCCAAGTCAGCTGCTGCTGAAACTGATCAGCAGCTGATTCCAGGAAGCCCGGGGCAGAGCAACTGGGGATGCCTGGGGCAGAGCAGCTGGGGTGCTGCTGGGTTGCTCCAGTAGCGCCGCTCCTCGGCGCTACTGGACCAACCCA